TGGATATGGAAACTACCAAGGGGGTTATCAAGGAAAATTCCAAGGGAACTATCAAGAAGATTATCAAGGTATTGATATGCCATAGAAGAAAATCATTCCTTTTCCTTAACTTGGGAATCTAATGGCAATCAATTGTTTCTTAGAAACTGATATCTATTTTGTCAAACGTATTAGTTAAGATGCCCAGTGATAATCACATGTTCTTGTTTGTTTAGTTTTAACTGACTTAAGTTTTATCGTGATATGATTAGAAAATGATGGCGGGTATTCAAACTGGGGCAGAGGCCGTGGACGAGGCCGGAGCTATGGCTATCGTGGTAAGTCAGAACATTGTCATTTAACAAAGGGCAGCAAAATTACAAGGCATATGATACTATACCCTGGATTAACATTGATCAGTTCATATGTTTGTCACATAGCTTTAAACCTGTCTGTTGGATCTCAGTCTTTACGTTTTTGTTTCTGAAATACAATTTTGTTGGATTTGTGTTAGGTGCTGGATATCAGGGTGGCAGAGGCGGGTATGGTGGTGGGAGAGATGGCGGGTATGGTAATGGCGGATATGGTGGAGGGAGAGAAGATGGATATGGTGGAGGGAGAGACGAGAGGTATGGTGGTGGAAGAGATGACGGGTACGGTGGAGGCAGAGACGATGGATATGGTGGAGGCAGAAATGACGGATTTGGGGGAAGAAGAGGTGGATTTCGAGGTGGTCGAGGTGGAGGTAGGGGTGACAGATATGGTGGAGGTCGAGATGATGGATACGGTGGAGGGCAAGGTGGATATGGTGGAGGGCAAGGTGGATACGGTGGAGGCAGGGGCGGAGGCCGGGGTGATGGGTATGGAGGAGGCCGAGGTGACAGGTATGGAGGAGGCCGAGGAGATGGGTATGGTGGAGGTCAAGGCGATGGTTATGAGGGAGGTGGAGGCGGATATGGCGGGGGAAGAGGCTATGGTCGTGGACGTGGAAGGATGGGTAATGGTGGACGTTCAAGGGGTGGTGCTAGTGACCAAAACCAAGCCTAAGTTTCATTTGCCATTCTCTAAGCTTATATATATATATGGTGGGCAGTTTGCGTTTTTTCCATTACCTAAAAGACCCTTGAAGTTCGTAGCACAATCTACCGGCCACTCCCAAGGATTTTGATATGTTTTTTAAAGGTTATGGTTAAAGTATGTGATCTTCTTCCTTTCAACTTTCCATATTTAAGCTCATGGGAGTGAAAAGGAAAGTGGTTTCTTTTTGTTTTTGTTCTTTTTATCTCTTCTGCACAAATTTAGCCAAAGTGCAAAATCAGCTTATGTGTTCCGTTCTTTGCTTCTTGTAATTATTTATGGATTCCCGTTTTAGAATTATTTAAGTCTCTCTATGTGTTGTACATTTTTCTTTTCTGCAATGTGGTACTAAAGTTCTGAATTTTCTTTTCTTTAATACGAAATCACAGAAGAAGTGCGACATTCGCTGTCAAAGCAATTTTTTACATTATGATATGAAGCCTTCTACGACACAAGCAGAAACCGGACACAACTAATTGAAATGCTAATACTAGCAATTTTTTTTTTTTTTTCATATACGTGACAATTACTTGGAACATGGAAATCAACACTTTGAAACTTTGATGCGGTCTCTTTGAAGATATGCTTGCTTAGGCAGTTTCATGCAGTCATAGAACCTTTGGTGCAGAGAGTAGAACATGCCTTGAGGCATTTTTCAATCGCTCCATTGACAATTTTTCTTGCGTCTAATCACCGAAAAATGTCTTTAGAATGAATTATTAAAGACAATATTATCTTGTCTTCAAAATAACAACAATAATAATGAGTGAGGGAAGTTTGCTTTACCAAAGTTCTTGAGAGCGGTCATGGCACCACAAACAGAGGATTCACACCCCAACTTGCAATATTCTTTGACAGCGTCACCTTGAGCCAAAAGTACAATACATACAAGTATAATCTTGAATCAAAAATGAAATCTTGATCGATCTC